TGCCCAGGTCGATTTGCTTGACGTTGGCTTCTTTTGGTGTTGTGAGGACGCTGGGCCTTTTAGCCGGTATCTCTAGCTCTTCTGGGCTTATTTCTGCGGCAATAGTAGCTATTTCTTTTCTACCATTGTCGGCTTGTGCCTTTGCTGCAATTTGAATTGCCTGAACGTCGTAGTCAAAAGCGCGCTTCAAATCGCTTCGAAGAGAAAGTACACCGTTAGGTCCTGGCATCTTAAGCAACAGGTACGGATAATGTGGTATTGCCATGAATTTTGCTAGTGCTGGGCGCCCGAAGATTGCGTGATATGATGAATCAAAGTCTACAACTTCAAACTTGATGAACTCTGTACGGTAGTTTGAAGGAGTTCCAAAAGTAACTGGTAGAGTGATTTGTCCAAGCGGCATTGCTGCCTTGCCGGGTACTATGCCATAAAAAGGTGTGCTCGTTGGTGTAATCATCCCGATGAGTTGTAGTCCCATCTTCCTTAGCGTTTCTGAAAAGATGATGTTGAGTCCAGCTCCTCCGTCGATTAGTACTTTGGTGACAGTCATACCGACAATAGTTGGATCTAGAACCAATGGGTAATGGCATGTGTTTTCTACGCTAGTCCATTGGTCTTCTCTGGAAAATTGGATTGGATACTGTGACCAATTGAGATATCTTGGAGTAGCCGGTTCTGCCGCCATGATAGTTCATAGTGCTAATTTTTCTTGATGTTTGCTTCTGGAATCTGGGGCTCCGGCGAAGATCACTGCTACCGTCCACCTAGATTTTTGGAATCCCTTGTCTTCGTGATTGTCCTCATCTTTTTTCTAATTGTCTTTTTTGGTGTTCTCCTTACTATCTTTTCTTGTGTATCGATCTTTGAAGGTGTAGCAATTTCCAATGGTATGCTTTCCATTAGGGTGCAAGATTCAATGCATATTTTCAATGTCGTCATATCTTCTTGGTTTGTAAAACTTCTTTGATTTGTCAGCCATCACCATGGTGTTGTCTGGTCCACGTTTCCTTTCCTGATGCCTGTTGTTTCGATGATTTTGCTTGTCCGAGTTGTCTCAGTTGTTTCTATCCAGGAACCTTTCTCGTGTCTTCTCTTCTGCAGTAATCATCTTTTCTACTGTCCATCTGAATTCTTCATTGTTTCTTGGGTTTTCTTTGTAGAAGTCTTGAAATTGACACCTAGCCATGATCCTGTGAGAGAAAGCTTCGATTACTTCTCGTTTGATGATGTCATGTACTTGAGCTCATAGTTCGCCAAATCATCGATAGTAATCTCTGAGACTTTTGCCTCCTTTCTGCTTGAGTCCCTTTAGTTCCACGTGGGTGATGGGGTGCGTAATGATACCTGCGAAATTTTGACAGAAAACTCTTTGCAAGTCCTCACAATTTCTGATTGATCCTAGATTTAATTTGTCGAACCATTGGAGGGGCATGGTTTCTAGGGCCATAGGAAAGAACAAGGTCTTGATGTCGTCATCTCCTCCAGCCAGTTCAACCGATTGTGAGTAGATTCTGAGCCACTGCCTTGGTTCGGTCTTGCCATCATATTTAGAGTGGTTGGACGGTTTGAACTTGTGCGGTAGTCGTATTGAAGCAAGTCTGCTTGCAAAACAGGGGAATCTATCGTGCGTCCTGGCTTCTCTGTACTCTGATTCAGCACCTCCTTCTAGCCAGTTGTCGTTTTGGTGAGAGTAGTTCTGTGGGGCTGTCCGAATGGGTGCTTGGCTTCTGATCTGTCTTGGTTGTTTGGCTCGATAGTTTTGACTGTGGTCCCTTCTACTTTCTTTGTTGTGACTTCCACTTGGTCCAAGTCTCTCGAATGCGGATTTCCTTTGATTTTGATCTTCTTTCCTATGAGATGTTGACCTGGCGGGTAGTCTTGAACGGGTTCTTCCATCGTGTGTCTTTAGGGCTGCTGTCCGGAGAAGTTCCCAGAGCTGTTCCTGCTGTTCACTGGGATGCGAGGTCATTCCGAGTTCTTCAAGAGCTTCTCGGATCCTGTTGTAGGGTGTGTTCGCCGCACATCTTTCTTTGACTTCTTGTTCTGATTTTCTTCTATTGTATTCGGCCAGATCTGACTCGTATTTGATCCAAGCTTCCTTACACTGCCTAGCACGTCGCTGGCGTCCTTGTTTCAACTTGTTTCTTCTTTCTCTAGCTTGCCTTTGATTCTCGGTCTCACCATCATAGCCCTGAGCAAAGGGTGATTTGTTGGACTCAGATTCATCTGATGACCTGACGTCGGGTGCTTCTAGGGGGATCAATGGTGATCGAGGACGGTGAACCATGAGTACTTCCCGTGCATGAACCGTTCTGTTGTTGGCGTTGGTTTCCATAATGTCGGAGTTGCTGATAACTTCAGTAGAGGCTTCAAGGTCGTAGATCGAGTCTCCTTCTTGGTAGGGTAGAATTGTTGTTGTCGTCGTGCCGACCAATCGGGTACTGCTATCCTCAGGAATAGAGTCTGGCCAGTGGACGATGCGGTCTTGAGATGTTATAGTTAGTATGAGACCTTCCTGAGCTCCTTTTAGTGGCATTCTAAGCACTGGGTCGAGGGATCCTTCGAGCTGTGCTTGGTAAGACCTTGCCATGTTGTGAAGACCAAACGGGAAAAGATCCGACTTCTTGAAAAGATTCTGAGTGCACTCTGAGTTGTATTCTTGATATGACGAGGCCGTGTTTTGTAGCCCCATTAGAAAAGAACTCAGATTCTCGAAAGAACTCGGTTCATACTCCATCTTGGATGCGGAGCCTGAGTTTGAGTCGGATGCGCAAAGCCGTGAAACCTGAGTTGAATCGGACATCACGAGCTGCGCGAATCTTCCGGTGATTTGATCTGTCGTAGTCGCCAAAATAGGAAAGTTTTCATGGTGAACCGAATCTTCGAGAAGACGGCTTTGGAGCTTGCCATCGTCGCCTGCCTCGCAGATCCATGAACCGAAGATGAAGGTTGATCCCGTTGAGAAGATCATGTTGTCGAGGTCCATCGAGCTCTCGAATGCAAATTCGCCGAAAGCCCCTACCTGGTGCGCCAGCTGTCGATGTTTGACCATCGATAGCCTACCATGGGGGTCCCCAGGGCAGTATGTTCAGGCTTCAGTGTATGCGGAACTCAATGGTGAATGCAAGAGACAGTCGATTTATCCTGGTTCGGACCCTCGATCGCTGATCGAGTAATAGCCCTACGTCCAGTCGGCGTTAGCCTTTGCGTTGGATTGATTGTGTGTAGTTGTTACCGTCGTAAAGGTTGTCCTCCTGCTCTAGGAACCCTGCCCTCTTTTATATAGTCAGGAGGTCAGAATCATAATCGGTTTACAATGAAAGTTCCTAGTAGGATTATAGAATAATACTACTACTAAGATTACATAGGAAGAATCCTAGTTAGACTAGATCTTCTCTCTTCCTTGCGGGGTATCCCATGGGTCCCGCATCGACACATACCATCTGGGTCGGGCGACACGGGGCCCGTGCCCAAGGGGTCTGGCAAGGCGGAAACCGTCCCTTCAGGGTTGGTCGAGACTGAAATACGTCCTTGATTATCTAGGCAAGTTGTCGTTCGCGGTCCTCAGATCCTTTCTTTAGGTATCCCAAATACTGATACCCGACACTTCTACTGCTGCCATTCTAAATGCAAATGCTTCTACTGCTGCCATTCCAAATGCAAATGCTTCTACTGCTATCATTCTAAATGCAAATGCTTTAACTGCTGCCATTCCAAATGCAAATGCTTTAACTATTGCCAGTCCAAATGCAAATGCTTCTTCTGCTACCATTCTAAATGCCCAAGCTTCTACTGATGCCAATCCTTGTACTGCTAATGAGTCAAACATAGAGCCTGATAGGGAGCTAGACATCTTTGACAATGAAGAGGAGTATGTTGGGGTTGATGATGAGCACATCTACATTTCAGTACCACCTGCACACCCAGCCAACACTGACAGTGCTTAAGCATCTATTGATAATGTTGATCCTGTTGTTGCTGATGGAGGTGCTCCTCTTGAGGCTAAAATTGATGATGCAGATCCCCAAGAAATAACTGTCCTCCATGATCCTGAAAATCCAAAGATTGTCAAGGGAGAATTGTTTCCTGACATAGTAACATTCAGGAAAGCCATTAGACATTACGTTGTCAAGAAAGGTTTTGAGTTTGCTAAGTTGTAAACTGACAAGACAAGATTCATTGTACATTGTGCTGCCAAAGGGTGCCCATGGAGAATTCATGCATCTAGGATTTTTTATAAGAAAACAATACATGTTGGTGTGGTCATTTTCTTACTGTTTGTAACTTATTCAGTTATACATATAATATTCATCTTAATTTCTTATGTAGATTAAAACATTGCCTGCTGAACATAATTATCCCACTACAAAGCTAAGGGAGGGAAAGATGGCCAGTCAAGGTTGGTGTACAGATAGGTTGGCGGACTGGGTCAAGAAGAACCCAAATAAAGGAGCCAAGGATGCAAAGGAAAAGCTAGAAGGAAACTATGGCATTAAACTGAAATACTCCAAGGCATGGTCAGGTTTGATGGTTGCCCTACAATAGGTTTATGGGAAGTACTCAGAAAGGTTTCAGCTATTGTTCAATTGGAAAGCACACATAGAAATAAGTTCTCCTGAAAAGCATTGTAGAGATAGAGTTAGAAGGGAAGAAGAAGAAATGATTCAAGAGGATTTTTGTAGCCTTGAAGCCATGTATTGATGGCTTCTTAGCTGGTTGTAGGCCATTTATAGGTGTAGATGTGTCTGCATTGCATGGCAGATATACAGGGCAGTTGGCATCAGCAATTGCTGTGGATGGGCACAACTGGTTATACCATGTGGCATATGGTGTTTTTTTATTCTAAAACAGAAGACAATTGGAAGTGGTTCATGCAGTAGTTGCATAGAGCAGTGGGATCACATACAGGTTTAGTCATATGTACTGATGCTTGTAAAGGACTTGAGAAGGTTGTGGGTGTAGTGTTCCCTGAAGTGGAGTACAGAGAGTGTATGAGGCACATGTATAGCAAGTTTATGAAGCATTATCAAGGAGATGTGTTTACTGACCACCTGTACCCTGCTGCAAGGAGTTACACAGAAGGGTTGTTCAGGTGGCACATGCAGAAGATAGCAGATTTTGCCCCAGATGCCATTGACTTCCTTCAGCAACATCACAAGTTGATATGGTATAGGTGTGGATTTTCAGAGCTAAGTAAATATGACTATTTGACCAATAATATTTCTGAGAGTTTCAATGCTCAGATAAAGAAGTTGAAAGGACTTTTGCTGCATGAACTAGTAGATGGGATTAGGGAACTCATAATGGAAAAGAGGTACTTAAGAAGGCAGATTAGTAAGGATATGCAGGATGGTATACTGCCCAATGTCATCAAAGACCTGAACACTATAAGCAAAAACCTCAAAGTTATGAAGATTGCAAGAAGTGATGAAGGCATAGCTGAAGTAACACTTATAGATGACTAGAACAACCACAATAGGCACATAGTTGACCTGCAAGGTCACTCCTGTTCATGTAGGGAGTGGCAAATCACAAGCAAACCATGCAAACATGCCCTGGCATGGATTCTTTCCAATAAAGGAATTAAAATAGCATATTTTGTGCATCAGTACTACTCTATTCAGAGATTTAGGGTTGCATATGCTTCTAGAGTTGAGCCATTGCCAGACAGGTCACAGTGGCCATAGGTTGACCTAGGCTTTAAAGTTTTCCCTCCTCTGCTAGGTAGAGCTGTAGGTAGGCCGAGAGTGGTGGGAATTAGAGGTTGCCTTGAGAAAAATACTACCAAGAAGAAGGTTAGGTGTAAAAGTTATGGAGATTTTGGGCACTTCTCTAAGACTTGCAAACAACCAGAGCTAGGAGAAGATGGTGAAGTTGGACTGAATTTAAAGGAAAAATGGTAAAATGATTTATATGTCTTTCTAATTCTCGTGACATTCCCTAATTTTTGCTAATCATAGTGTGCATCTGTAGGAAAAGGCAACAGCTGGAAGATGATGACAGTACTGGACCTTCACAAATGAAGAAGAAGGAGACACCTAAGAAGAAGGTTGCACCCAAGAAGAAGAAAACACCTAAGAAGAAGAAGACACCTAAGAAAAAGAAGCAGCAAAAGAAAGTTGCTGCTCTAGCAGCTAGTGTTGTGAGAAGCCTGAAGGACTTCTTAAACACCATGTGATATGTTGTGATCACAAGCATGAAATTAGTTTCTTTTATGGCCTGAACATTATGTATTGTATGCCTTGAACTTGATGTATGGTATGGCCTGAACTTGATGTATGCTAGGGCCTGAACTAGATGTCTGTTATGGTCAGCACTAAATGTTTGTTATGGACACCTCCTATTTCTATTTAGTAATGGCCTAAACTTGATGTATGCTAGGATCTAAACCTATTTGTGTGTTCTGGTTATGACCGGATGTTTTATAATGAATCTGAACCACCTTGTGTGATATAAGCATGTAAATTATGGCCTCATTTATTCATGGCGTGCATGGACAATTGCTGCTCCAAACTAAAATGTCTATTTATTCATCATAAATTCACAGATTGATCACAATTATAAGAAAAAGAAGCTGTGTTGCACACATTGACAGTTTCATCACAAATTCACAGATTCACAAAACCTACAGAAATATGCATTCCTTGATCACAGATACACACTTGCACAGACAGAAATAAACATAAATTAGTAGTAGCACTTGACAACCTACATGCTAAGATCACCGAACTCCAAACTACTGGAACCAAGGTGCATACTACTTCATTTCCAAACTGCTACAAGTAAGAGGCTTACAAACAGATTTAGCATCACCACAGCAACTAATGCATTGCCTAAGCTAAAAGCCTTGTTTAATCCTCCATTCTTCAATTCTTTTAGCTCCTGCTTCAACTTTAAAATGTCAACCTTCAAGTCACTGATCTGAACCTTCAAGTCCATCATCCCAATCTTTGTGTCACTCTTTTGTTCTATAACTTGAACCGCAGGAGCAACAAAAGGGCCTTGTACACCTTCCACTTCCACATCCCTAAGCTTGTCTGGATGATTGGCGCGCAGATAGGCCAGGTATTGATCCTCAAACCAGCAGTTCCCACAAGTGTCATCGTTCTGCAATTGACAATAAAAACCCCAACCCACTTAACACTATTTATAGCTGGACGAACATGGAACCCAACATCAAAGGAAAAGCAAAACAAATTACCGGGAAATTATTGGGGCAAGTGTAATACATATTGCCAGCCTTGCTCTTGCGCCTAATGACCTGGATCTTGCATTTGGGGCAATCGATCCATGGGAGACCACCAACCTGGCTAGCACTTGAACTGGCAGCTGTGGATGCCATCTCTGCTCAGCAGATGGGGCGAGGAAGGAGCAGCAGTAGTCGTGGTCGATGCCAACGCCAGCGGTAGTTGCGGTCGCCGCCGCCGTGAGCAGTAGTCGCCGCCGCCGCCGGTCGCAGTTGCCTCCGTGGCCGACGAGCTAGGGTTCGAGCGAGAGAGAGAGAGGAGGCGGTGGGGAATGGATGTATTGACTCGATCGAGTCAAACAGACGCATATATGGAGAAGCTGGGGGCTAAAGGGTCCATACGAATGTACGTACTAGCTGTATACACCTGCATGTGGGCCATAGGTCGCGGCAAGTGTACATAATAACATTTTTCAAACTCTAGTGGAATTGTAATGGCACGCTTACAATAAGACTAATAGTAATGATATTTCTCAGAATCGCGAGAATTGTAATGGCACCAATCCAATTAACCCCTAAAAGAAGCGGCGATATTCGGGTAGCCAGAACTCGGGTCTACCGGTTTTGTGGTCGATGCACTCACATTTTTTTCGCCGAAATGTAAGTGACTCGTACGTGGAACAACAATGACAGTAGATCCCTAACGCAAGTGATATCCACGCCCGACGTAGTAGAACGATCACCCTGATGCTTTTGCATTGGTACAAAAGAGGACCGAGGTTGGCAGCGGCGACAGAATGGAGAACAGCGGCGGCTGGAGACGTTCAGCGTACGAACAGAAAGGTGAGCTCTCCTGTTGAGTGGAAAAGAGGACGATGACGGAGGTTGGGGACGGCGACCATAGCAAGAAAAAAGTTAGTTCCTTTTTCCGAAGCGGATGGATTAAAAGTACACTGAAATCATAGGGGAAAAAAGAAAATAGGTTATTGTATTTCTTAACCCTATTTTAAAGTATAATTTTATTTTATCTATATTTAATTAACTTCATGATTTTACCTCTACTTTTACAGAACGCCGGAAGAGTTTACTTCTTCTGTAAAGAGAACTTAGCTTAAAAAAGACTATTTTTTTATGTGAATTTGATTCTACATTTTTTTAGTACTATGCGATTTTGGCATCAAATATTTATTGACCGATGACTTGTTAATTAATTATTACACTTTAAAAGCACTTTCCGCACGGCCGCCTTCTTCTTCGGCGCCAGTGGCTCCCTCTCCACCGCCCTCTTCTACGGCGCTCCTCCTCTGCTCAAGCGGCCCTCACCCCCTATCGTGGTCGTCTTCCCCCTCCCCCTCTCGCCGGAGCTCCGCCATGGCCATGGAGCTCCCCCACCCCAACATGGCCCGGCCGCCTCCACCGCTGCCAAGGTCTCTAAACCACCCTCCGGCCATCCCCACCGCTTGTTAGCCTTCCTCCTCCAAAACCTTCCCTTTTGAGCCTGTCAGAATTGGGGTAGATAAGAGGGAGAGCTCACCGGAACCCTAACTCGTAGATCTAGGAGGAGGAGGAGGAGGAAACCTACCTCTCTAGCGCCGACGCCCCACCGCCAAAACTCGCTGCTACCACCAAAGGGGAGAGATGGAGGAGCTGCGTGGGAAGGAAGAAGACACCGCGTCGGGCGCGAGGTGGAAGAAGGAGCCGCGCGTGGGGAGAGTCGGAGAGACACGTGCGCGCGTGGGGAGGCCGTGTGTGTGCTTTGCGTCAAAAAACTCACCGGCTATGTTTAAGTCATTACCAATCAATTATCATTAGATAATTTTGGTTCAGATTGCCAAAAAACGGTTATATGTTCACACCAAAAACTGACTGGCCGCACAAAGGGCCTATTTGGCTTGCTCCCCGCCGGAGCTGCTTGGCCCAGGCAGCGCTCCCAGGCATCCAATTTTGCATGCGGGCCAGGATTATCCTAGCAGGGTGCGAACCAAACATGCCCAAAATGCAAAGCATCATATTGTCCAGTGTGTGCATGTCAAACGGCGCCAGACTATCCAATGTGTGTTCAAAAGAAGTTCGAGAAAGACAAACTTTTCATGTTTATTTTGGGTCGTTTCTCGTGATGTATTGAAACTCTACTCTCAAGATAGACCTTCAACCCTATAAATATAAAAGGTCACCGCCAATTGAGGTATCTAATTGACCAATGAATACAACTTTATCTTTTTTTGTCTTACTTTTTACTCTCATTTTGCCTAATCTTCTTTAAACCCTGATTTGTTGTTCTACGAGCTTTTCAACAGAGTTTGTGGGCGTTTTAGGTGGCCTTGCTGATCCTGGAACAACCCTAGGTGTTTCTCCCCGACGGGTGCTTCCCAAGAGGTGTTCCTAGGTAACCGCAATGGAAATCATATCAGATAGTTCGCCGTTCAACTACAATGCCGATTGTCCGACACTCGCAATTCCAGCACCGTCGGTTCGTCCGGTGCTTACGTCTTTGCGATCTACTGTCAACGCAACCTGGTGCTGTGGTGTGTGGTCATCTTTTGCGCTAACACCATGATTCCATGTGAGATCTTAGCGAAGCAGCGAAATGCTATCATCAAATGCGAGACTCTTGGTGGTGCAACTGAATATTGTTGGTTGTTTCGTGACAAACTTAGCGGCCCTAAGACCTATTTGGCTCTTCGTAGCCTAGTGCCCAAGCTCATCGAGGCCGGTCGCCAAGAATGACAAGTTAGACTCTTGGAGACATTTTTGTGTATGGAAGAGGAGATGGGCTATAATTTGTGGCTCCTCCCCTAAATCCGACTCCTTCGGATGAGGACCTAGAGAAGCCGTGCCAAATAGACACTCATTAGCAGCTAATTAACTCATCATGTTTGTTTCACCGGCACTTCCGTGCACCGTAACAACAAATCAGAGCCGTGTTAAATGGATAGCTCTGCTACTTAACCGAGCAAAAACCGTACCAATCGGTTGTTCACCTTTTGGGACGGAATGGATCGGAAAGTTGATTGTTATACAGTCGTCGAACATGAATTGTAGTATAAATCAAATAACTCACCGACGAAGCAGCTATGCAAATGGTTGTCTTGTGCTAAGCAATAAAAATACCTCTGTTGAGAATCTATTAGCGAGACGACATGTCAGACCTAAAATATTTGCAATGCTGCTATGAAACTCGGACACTCAGTAACTTCAAACAAAAAGCACGTCAGCGTCGCTTAAACCAGACATACTAGAAAGAAGCTCATCATGTCCATGCATGCAATCGACAAGAAACAAAATATAGGAAACCAGTTAAGTTGCTAGGAGATAATCAGTTCCATTATAGAACGAAAGTGATAGCTACAGCGACGATTCATCGTTAACATGTGCATATACGACGACAGAAAGATCAGAGAAGGATATGGCCTGATGCCATTAGTCAAGCTTCCATTGCATTCACATAAGCAGGCTGTTCAAAAGTTCAACACCAGCACACTTGTAAAGTTGGCAAACTTTACACATGGACCTTGTTTAGTTGCCAAACTTTGGATGTGTAAAGTTGGCAAAATATATTGTATCGCTACTGTAGCATTTCGTTTGTATTTGGTAATAATTGTCCAACCGTAGACTAATTAGGCTCAAAATGTTCGTCTCGCAAAGTGCAACCAAACTGTGCAATTAGTTTTTAATTTCGTCTACTTTTATTATTCCATGCATGTACCATAAGTTTAATGTGACGAGGAATCTTCTTTTTACATAGTACCAAAGTTGAAAGTTTAGGAGGAACTAAACCAGACCTTGAGACATTGAGCTAGGAGACTGACTACTGAGCAACACAACGCAGACGGACAGGCTGAAACTTCGGTGGCAGGTGCTAAGCTAAACAGAGTCAGTAGCCAGTATCCGATCTCGGACACTCAATTAGCACGGCCCCTGATGACATCAATGCCCCATCTCAGTAGGATCCGTTGCCTGCAACTCCACCTGGATGCCATCAAGCTCCCTCTTGAACCTCTCCTTGGGGCTTGCATACAGCATCTTGTTCCTGATCTTTGCCGTGTCCGGAGACCTTCGCATCACATCACATGTAGATAAATAAGGTCTTTTTAAATCTAGGGGATAAAATTTGAGTGTTACATCGGGTGTGTAATATAAGAGTATTCGGATACTAATAATAAAATAAATTACACAAGTTTTCAGTAATCCGCGAGACGAATTTATTAAACTTAATTAATCCATCAGCACGTGTGTACTGTAGTGCCACCTTGTCGAGTAATAGACTAATTATGTTTAAAAAATTCATCTCATAAATTAGTCGTAATATGTGTAATTAGTTATTTTTTAGTCTATATTTAATACTCTACGTATGTGTCCACTCATTCAATGCGATAGAGACTAAAGTTTAGGAGGGGAAAACAGTCCAGGCCTAAAACAACATCAAACACCACCACCACATGGTTTAGTTTGCTGAGCCAAATTCAGAATGATGGAGAAAAAGGAATGTGGTGCCGGTGCAGAAACCTGGATTATTATTCATAACAGTGCAACACCGATGACTTACCATGCGATGAAGATCTTGCTCTTCTGGCACCCCTCCTCGGTGATGAAGTCGAAGTCGTAGACGCAGTACCTGCACTCGTCGGCGGGGAGGGTGGTTGGGCTCGCCGAGCTTGTCCACGACGACCTGCTTCTGCTTCTCCTCGATCTTGAAGACGACCAAGCGGTATAGGTGCGCTTGGCCTTGAGCTCCAGGAACTTGCTCTTGCAGTCGTCGTCCACGGCCATCCCGGACGCCGCGTTGTCCTACACCGAGAGTCCGAGACACGCCGGAAAATAAATATCGACGCGACGCACACAGTTTCATTCCGTCGAACACCCTATGTGCAAGGAGGAATCAGGCGTTTGCCGCGCCTGCTCCTTCTTATCGCGACCGTGTGTGCCCGTTGTTTGCCCGTCACCGTTATCACCTTTTGCTTCCACGCCTCTGCCGTGTCCGCGATTCGGGCTTTGCCTTGCCAACCCTCACTTCCTTCGTCTGTTGGTTTATCCTGAACAAATCGTTCACCCTAGGTGGCTAACAAGCTGCAGCAGTCGATTGATCCGGACGCCCTGAACTCGATTGATTCCACAGGAGGTACGAAGATCGACGAGGGGCCACGGGCCACGTCCCCCTTTGGCCTAGCTTAAGCTCCTCGCTCCTGAACCCTGATGGCCCGGCCTATGAACGTTTCAACACCGTGTAGTTTAGATAGCTGAACAAATCGTGGGAGGGAATGTGCAACTCGTACTGCTTTGGACCTTTGTGGTGCTGCTAATTCCCACACAGAAAAAGGTTGTATCCAAACGGAGTGCTGTCTCGCCAGCTCGGATACAGGTGCCGGACAGGCCACCATGCGATTCTTTCTGCTCACTGAAAGTGCGGGAACAGACGCCAAAAAAACAAAAATCCTTTTTCCGTCGATTCCGTGACACCATGATGGTCCGTCGGTGCATCCCTTTCTCAGCAGAAGCTACCAATTTCGATGGACGGCGACGCTCCGGCAAGAAACGATGGCTCAGCTCCACTGATTTTTTATGAGCAAAAACCAAAATGCTGGTGACTTTAGAAGATCTAAAGAGTAAATTCGTTGTGGCCAGCTCGCGACGCCAGCGTGTCCACGTCGCTCCTAATTTTTCCGTCCGTCCGATCTTTGATTCTACGGACCGATTGCATGGACCAGCTTTCGCCGATAGCGGCTTCTCCTGCTTCTCGTGCGCTTAACCAGCTTCTCCACTGCCTCTTGCTGCCTCCTCCGGCTTCTACTCCGAATCCAGCGAAACCAATAATAGACACAGCTTCTGCTCCGAAAAAAAACACGCACCTCTCCCCATCCTCTCTCGATCTCTCCCGACACGGCGACGGCCAGGGCGACGGCGCCCCCCGGGCGGCGAGCGGACCTCCGTGGCGGCGCGCGGGCAGGACGGCGGCGCACGGCCGCGACCTGCACCCCGCTGGCCTCCTCTCCCTCTTTCCATCGGTCTCTCCCTCTCCCTCTCCATCCCGACACGGACAGGCTAACGACAGTTTGGCACAGCGGCAGGGCGGCAAGGCTGGCGCGCCCTCCTCCTCCTCCTTTCCCCCTCAAGCGATCGGGGCCCCACAGTGTCCGCCGGCATGCTTGCTTGCCCCCCGCCTCTCCTCCCTCCTGCTCCGTGTGTGTTCATGTGTTGCAGGTGCTCAGAAACCCTAGCGACTGTGTGCTAGGGTCATGGCCGGCCAGCCCGACCCGACCCCGGCGGCGCCCTTCTCTCCAGTGTGAGGCGGCCCACTTGACCCAACCCCGGCGGCGGTGCCCTTCTCCAGTGTGGGCCTTCGCCCGGCGGACAAAGAATGGGCGATCGGCAGGTTGTTGTCCCTCCGGCGACTGCGTGGCCGACGAGGTAACCTCCCATCTCCTCCATGTCTCTTGGCCTTCTTTTACTGAATGTTTTGGTGGCGGGAGCCCCAGATTCTTGGTGCATTTACCAATTTTTTGTGAGATTTTTTCCTACATTCCTGGTACAAGTGATGCAAATATGTTTCCAGAAGGCCACCTTCTTTCAATCACTCACAATGTTCCCCAAGTGCCGCATTGGTCAATATCGAGCCCTGTACAAACCATTTTAATTTATTCATGTATGTTCCTCAGTATTAGATTTTCACTTTTCAGACTAATGTATTAAACAAGTTAAGAAATATTGGATAGGTCAATGCTTACTACAGCAGATGACATGGCTTTCGTCCTTTCAATTTTGTGCCTGAATGTTCTCATGTAGACATGTATGTAGTTTTTTGTGTGAATTTGTTCCAGTTTGAGAGGCGAGTGCTCTTTGTTGAGGTTCCAGATAAGACCTAATTTCTTCGAGCTCATTCTAAAAAAAGGTTTTATTTTGTAAGGCAACCATGCTGCAGCCTCACATTTACCTTCGTCCCATATTGACCAGCATAGATGTTATACTTAAACATTTGCTACGGCAATACATGTTTTAGAATCATTTTACCTATTTGTTGGTGTTCATCGATCTTCTCCATTTGCTAGAGTGGCGGGAGTGGCAGTTCCTGAGCCCGACGGTGGAGCAGGCTGTGCGCCATGGTCTGCGTGACGCAAAGGACGATACACAATACAAATTTTATTCTTGTGTTGTGATTTCGGTTCAACACAGGACTTCATTTCATAGGCCAATTTTGAGGACTATCATCAGGTGCAGCAACATCAAGGTGTTTTTGTTCCCTTCTTTTTGTCATTCTTTTACCTGTTTGATAAAGTTTTAGTTCATAATTTATAGCATCCTCAGCGAACTTGCTTCGTTTTGCGAATTTGTATGATGCTGCTGGTTTCCTTAGATTATTTACTGAGTACGAAGTATCCGTCTAGATGAAGAAAAAGGAGTTCAATGCTCAACAGTACAGTTGATTCCATCAAGTTTTACCTAAATTATTTTATTAATGCTTGCCCAGGTTTCTCAGAATGATTCTTATTCTTGTGCAAGAATTTTGTTTTGAGACAACTTCATTCCATGGGTGCATTTTGAGGGCTATCAGTAGGTGTAACTGCATCAAGGTGCTCCTGATCCATTGCTTTTATCATATTTCTTCTACCATGTGCTAAAATTTTCATTCAGATTAAACCTTGAATTTTTAGTTTGATACAATTTATATGCACATTGTAAAATCTTAGAACAAGCCAACCACTTGGAAAAAACATTATCTGGTCTGTAACAAACATCATGACCCTACTCAGGTACTTAGTTGGGTTGCATACTATATGTTAGCTTACTAATCGCTGGTACATATTTAGGTACACTATTAGAAGTTTGAGATCACAGAAATACCAGTAGTGCCATTTGTTGTTCTTTTACTGTCCTGCAAGGTCGAAAGTGATGCTTTGATCATTTCCTTTAGGTTTCATGTTCAGTAATGCGCATGGAAGTTCTTTTGCTATTCGCTCGTTTCATAAATTCACCTAGCATTTTAGTACTGTCCCATGGATGTGCTTCATAGATTGATTATAATGGGAAGTATATCAGCTCCTGCAACATTAACCAATATGAAATCAGTGTATAAAAACAGCACATGAGAGACATAAATGCTTACTGAATCATTATTATTATGAGTAGGAAAAAAGACGAGGGCTAAGAAGATTAAAACATTCTTGTTGGGTTAACTCTGCTACATGTCATATGCATTCCCAATTTTGCTAATAGAGCTGCTCAAAGACTCATGTTCCTCATATGTGGCTATCATGGCGTATTTAAAATACTAAGCTCTGAGTGTTTGGTCATGGTGTTACCTACAGGTCTAACCATAATTAGTTCAGATAACTCTTAATTCGTGTGGTTGGTTTGACCCTTTCAATTTTCCATTGCTTTACAACAAACAATAAAGTGTGCATAATCGTTCTATTTTTTCAGCCCATTTACCAGATCTGTCCATCCCACCGTTCTGTTGGATCTTTTCGTCCCCTCACCAGATCTCTGTGTAATAATGGATGTGAGGCTTTCCTTCCTTCCTCTTCGTTGTGGCATGAGTCAACTCTCTGTGCTCAGAAAGGCCTTTTTGTACGGTGCGTGCTCTCCTTGCCAGCGCCGGGGCCGCATACGTGTGTGGATCTAGCTTGCCAGCCTTCATTGCTGGAGGAGCCCCACATAGGCGTATCTGGCCTGTTGCGCATGGCAGAGGTGCACTCTATCCCCTCCTCTCCCTCCCCTTCCCTTGGCTCCCTCTTCTCACTGTGAGGATCTTGGCCCCCTTCCCCTAGGAGGCCATCGGATTTTGCGCTTCTCTTGTTTTTAAATGTGCGGATCATGCGCAGAACTGATATCCTTCATTATACAATGATGATTAATTGTTTCATTCTTCATGCTACCTACTGAGGTTTTGGGGTTGTGCAATGATGACCTTTTTTAAGACTGAGGCAATGGAATTGTGCAGTGATGACTAATTATTTCATTCTTCCATGATTTCTTGCTATTTGCATTACTTCTGTGATGACAATGCCATTATATCTTAGCAATTCTCTTTTGCATGTGTTGTTTTGTTTTCGTTAGTTCCTACAATTTGTGCATTTGTTACTGAGCATAAGTCCATTGTCAGTGATGTCTTTGCTTCACATAATTTGTTGGTTATTCTATTACTGAGCACACCCCATTGCCAGTGATGTATTTGTTCCTATCCATCTCCACTTTCTTGCAAATCCACTTTTTAGCAGGTTTGAAACATCTGGAACTAAGGTTCTGGTGTGTGCTCACCCTCATAAGGCTTGATCAGTGCCTCTATGTTTTCCCTGATATAGCATGGCAAAATAGATAACAAATTGAGCTATTCTTATATAGCTTTGAGTCTGTTTTTGGCTGTGTAATTAACTAATGCTTAAATCTGGATAAGTTCTTAGTTCTCACATGCCTATTTGCTTGGCAGTACAGAATTAATCCTTACATCTTACATATTAGTTTATCACCTTGCTGTAAAGGAAATGGACCTCCTTATATTCTGCTACTTTCTTTAATTGCTGATGTGTGTAATTTCATTCTAGAAATCTAAAAGGGGAAGCCATTTCTTTTTTAGAAAATACGTAGCTCTTCCTAGTGCCTCCTAATTCTTTTCCATGGATATGAAAAATAGAGTTGTTTCCTAAAATCAGAAAAACACTCTTAGCAAAATGGCTCTAAAAGCATTATTGTACCAATTTACAGTTTCCTCTTGGGAATTCTGCACCTTTTGGTTATCTGATAGGTTCTTTCTTCCTTCCAGCAAGCAGTTGCAGAAAGCAGCATTGTTTATAAGCAGTTTCAGAATAAGCTTTTCCATACTACTGTTCAAATCTTTCACAATTTTTGGCAATTGATATGTGATGCAGCACTAACATTTACAATCTTTGCCAAATATACAGGGTGATCTGTCAAATATCTAGGATGGACTGAACAGCCAAAGGCTTAGATAAATGGTTAGCTCTCTGAAGGTATCTCAGGTACAATCTTTCCCTGCATTGGATTATCGAAGGTACAATATTAATTATTCTCCTGCATTTAACCCTTAAAAATTGATGTTACACTCAATGCTGCAAGAGTTACCACCATCTGCATTAACTGAAACCATTGTTCCTTCTTCTAGTATGGCTGTCAATCCACCGCTGCCCATTTTGGCAAACTGAACATCTATGGGAAACTCCATGTTTCGTATAATATATGCTCGTTGTTGTGTTCTTCATCGTTTGTTTCTAAGAAAACAGTATCTCATCATCGTTGATAATTACAGCTGTCAGTTAGGTGACTCAATTTTAGTTAGGCGTCTATAATATTTGTTATTGTCAGCATTGTGCCATTTCCCAGATAGATTTTCGGCCATTTCTCGCGCGCATGGGCGCGCACAAATCACTAGTTATATAGAGACGAGTAACATTACATGGCAGGAAGAGGAAGAGCAGCAAGCCACAAGCAAGACTTCAAAAATGTCTCTATCCTTTAGGTCCGTTCAGAACATGCCCCTCGTGTTTGGACCATGCCAACATGGTCCAAAAAAATTCATATCATGTCGTATTTTGAGCCATGCTAAAATATCAATAACGACCCTTCCTCAGACGGGACGGTGCGTCCAAGTCACAGTTCTACTCTCCACTAAACAAACGTGTCCTTACGAAGATTCGTGTGCACAACTCTTAAACCGTCGTGTTTCAACCTCTAATTTTATCTTGACCATGTCTTCTTCTCACAACCAGTCACACAATTGCTCCAAGCTCAGCTTTAGCGGCTCCATACCACCTCCCTCATCGTCGACACTAACTTGTTGATAGCGATTGCTCTGCCCTTGGCCCAACCAGCCTTCTCCATCTCTTGACTAGCGTCATCAATGCACCTCCATATGCTCGCCGCCAGCACTGGGCCGGCTTTTCACCCTCTGATTTTTCATAGTCTCTTCTAAGCTCGCTACTAGACTCCAATAAGCATCTAAAACCCTCAACCTCCAACCGGAGGAAAAGCTACATGTTCGTTGAATAGTGAAAAAAATCTCGAGTCACATGCTAAAACAACTAAGTGTTGTTTACCTTTGCTGTATTTATATTAGAGAGAGTGATTGGGCTCACTCAGATAGTGTATTAGATTTATAAAAATCTACTCCCTGCGTCATAAAGAACATTCTAGCTTTCTTCCAAGTTATCTATCAAGTTGACAACATCTACGAAAGTATGATGTTTATGGTACCATATAATTATCATTAGATTCATCATGGAATATATTCTATTCAAACAAGTTTGATTCCATTGAAACATAAAATTGTATTCTTTTGATGACAGATGTGGTGGAGGACATATAAGCATGTGCAACCACTCATCAATGAGTAAATTAAAGGTGACTAGTCATTTCGGTACAAGGCTCAATGTGCGCAGAGCGCTTTAGCATTTGTCTATTGACCTCAACACCGATTCTAGGATTGGAGCAGGGCCAATGCACGTTGGCTTTACATCAGTTAAAGTCATTGTAGAGTCATTGTAGAAGAGAATCTTTAGAGCCCACGCAAGAGAACAACAACAAAAGTGTCCTTGTGCTTTTTGCGAGTGAAGCTCATGCTACTTATGTAGGCCTCTCTACGTTTCTGCAAGCCACAACTAGCGCTAAGATAGGAGCTAAGCTTTGACTTGGAATTGTGAATCCCGCGTTTGTGGTGAGTTAGGGATGGCCTAAGGTAACTTTCAAGTTTGTTTCATGCTTTAGTACAAATAGGTGGTCATGTAGTTGATGTGCTATGTAGCACAAAACGCTCCATCGTACGACAACTTAAGCCACAAAACACTTCAGCACACAACTTTTGCCATTGATCTTGATGTTATATAAGAAAGAGAGATGTGGGAGAGAGAATGTCTCGTACACTACTCTTCTATTACCTTGTGTTGACTATTCAAGGATGGCAACACGTTCTGCTCTAGTGTATTGCGCCCACGAGATTCTTGTCTCTCATGCTAGCACCGCATTAAAAACATAGGACAAAGGTTCCCTGAGAAGTACCATTTTGCAACCTGCAGGTATTATCTATGGGATCACATGTGCTTGTTGTAGGTTAGCAAGCTTTACAGAGGGAAGCAACATCCATCTTCTATTGTTGTTTAAGACCAAACTTGCAAATTATGTGCCCAGCATGCTAGCAATTCTCACTATGTACCAGATATCAATGGTAGCAACTTTAAGAATAGGTAGCATGCCATCCTACTAGGAACCTTCAGAACCGCCTTATATTGACATGAAAAGCTTACCACAAAATATGTCACCTACCTTCCAAATATCTATGAACATATATAACTCAAGAAATCAATGAATAATGATTTCACAACAAGACGAAAGCTATAGGACATGGACAAATATTCCTATAATATTGATAAGGGTACAAACTGTAACATGTCTAGATAAAAAGATCAAATGAAAGGTATAGGACATGGGCAACTATTCCTAATGTTGGATAAAGACAATGGTTCTAATTGAATTATATTCATATAACATGTCCATATAAAAGTTTCTAGCCGAATATAGTTCTTATTACTATTAAGTTGTGTAGCAAGCAATAACTCGGTTAATTAATCCAACCGACAAAACTTCACAAACTAGAACCAGAAACGCAACAACTAGCGCCTAGCTAGTTACCATCCCTAAACACAAAAGCAACCAGAAGCTTGCTCAGGAGTGAAACACTCATCAGCTGGCATTTACACTAGGAGACTTCAGCATGAATCCCGGGTGTAGTGCCTCATGGTCCTCCGTCTTAGGCTTGGTTGCCTGCAATAGCTGGACACACTCGTCGACCTTGACCGACAGCATCTCCGATGAGCAAAGCAACGTGACCACCTCGGAGTTATCAAGCTCCAACAACATCCCAGTGATTTTGCTTGCGAGTTCAGGCTGCAATGAACAAGTGGCACATTTGTCAAGCACCAAAGCCCAGTCCCTTTGTTATGGATGGAAAATATGTGTTAAGAAAAAACATATGAGATATTGATCCTAGAAAGATGATTACCTGATGCCTCTCAACAAGTGGATAAAGCCTGTTCCCAATCAACTTTTTTTGTTCCGCGGGTGGAGCAGAAGCCAAATAGCTGCTGAAAGAATCATTCATTATTGAAATAGGGTCACTTTGATGGATGTCCAAACCGTTGGCCATAACATCATTCGAGAAGTACTTCGAATGGTTGAATCGCTGCAAAAGCTCCATCATATAATAAGTTAAATATATAATTAAGTTAAGTTGCCTAGTTAAAAAGAAATAAAGAAACAAACAAATATGTCTGACAATAATAAATTATGAATGTAGGCATCACAAAAATATTATCACATTGGGGAGATATTTTGGGGAAATGCTTCATGTGCAAGCATAGATGACAAAGTAGCCATGCAACAAACTGAGCTTCTTTGCAATGTGCCATATAATATGTATAAAAATCCAATGTGCATGTCATTAATTGAAGATGAGGAGGTACAGAACAAATACCTGTCGAGGCATGGACATGAATTCTTTAGTTGGTTGTGCATGTGTCACATAGTTCATTGCATGAACTGCATGAGGAAGAGGCATCATGTTCCCACCCATCCTTCCCCGGTTGCTTCTATAGTGCCTTGGTGAATTTGGCATCTATGATAATACAATGAATAAGAGTTTACATACATACTAATAAAAAAATTGTTTAATCAGGCAAGGAAGGTACCATTGGTGAATGTATTTGTTGGAGATTTGGTGCTGAGGGGAACATATTTGGTCTCCATTCATGACTAAGCCCCATGGGTGGATACACAAATCCATGTCTTGGAGGACCTTGAGGGATATGAGTATTTGGATGGGCAAAATAAACTTGTGGATATCCTGTGGGGATCATAGAGTTCGTAGGTCCAACCATTCGTGCAAGCTGAGCAAAATGTTGCTGCAACTTGGCTCTTCTCTCCTCTTTTCTTTGGAAAATAGCCACATATAATGGTTTTCCAAAAAACATAACACCTGCTTAACCAAATTAAAGTAAACATGTTACTGTTTTTTTATTGAAGCAATTGAGTATACTTTTTCCTTTTGGGTCTAGAAAAAACATGGGATTACCTCGCATGCTGTTTACAGCGCTCTTTGCCTCCTCAGGGGTACTATAACATACAAATCCAAAGCCTCTACTGATGCCCTTATTATCACGCATGACCTTTACTGATGTGATGTTACCAAATTCAACGAAGCGAGCATGAAGAGCACCATCATCAACTTCATCATGGATGTTTTTGATATAGACATTTGATTCCTGACAACAATACATATATACCTAGTCAATGGAAACATGAACACCAAGCATGTGAATTTGTGAGATAGCATTAGATCAGAACTTATGAGTGCATCTTACATTGCTCTTAGTTATTATTTCATTTCTCTTTTCCTCGTGTAAGCGCTGCAAATATTGTTTCCTTTCCTCCTTCTTTTGAGCCCTCGCCACGTATAAGGCTTTTGATCCTTAAAAAATTAGGACAAGATAAACACATATATATCTATAATATTTTATTTAATAGACTTTAATGTTATTTAATATAAAGTATATTATTTTGGGAATGAACATACCAAGTAGCATCCCATGCATGGTCTCTTGTGCTTTAATGGCACTTTCAGGGTTTTGGAAACTGACAAATCCAAACCCCAAAGATGACCCATCAGGTCTCCTCATAATCTTCACACTAACTATTGAACCAAACTGAGAGAACTTCAATTTAACAAGTTCCTCCGTTATGTCATCATCTAGATGCTTCATATATAAGTTAGTAAACTTGTCATCAATATTTGCAGACCGTTCACTTTTCTTAATGAAAGTAGCTACATGCCTGCACAAATTGTCGAGAAAATTATATATGTAAAACATACTATAAATAATGATAATAATTAATGCAAATGACATGAACATACAATTTTCTGTCATTGAAAAGGGAGCCATTGAGGTTCCCAATTGCTTCATCTGCTGACTCCTGTGATGCAAATTGAACAAACCCATATCCTCTGCTGGTCCCATCCTCATTTTTGGCGACTTTACAAGATAAAACATCTCCAAACTTGGAGAACAATTCTTGAAGGCTTGCATTGTCAACAGAATTACTAAGGTTCTGTGAATTTCATACAACACAACCAATTAGTACTTATGTACAATATATTATATAGTTATAATACACATGGAAGAGATATGCTTATGTATGGTGAAGATATTGCAACTATACCTTAACAAAAATGTTACCGACGCCACTTCTCCTGGCATCTGGATCACGGTTGGACCACATCACCCTTATTGGCTTATCCAAAACCAAGCTATGATTCAACTTATCAAGAGCCATCACAGCTGACAAATGTTAGCAAACTAGTCAGAATCTTACTATATCCCCTCGATGAAAAAATTTAATTAGTTAACAAATACCTTATGATATTATCCATAAGAATACTTACAAAATGGATAACAAATTACATAATAAAAGTAAATAACATGGTAAGTTGCACTTGGCTATGACGAAGAAAAAATTAAATTAATATAAAGCAAACATCTAAACTTTAGCACAAATTATATATGGAAGATTGCGTGCAACAATCCAAGCTCTATGCGCAAGATTGAAAATATTAAAAAGCATATCAATCTAATTTTATCTAGAAAACAAAATGCATGAAAAAAATGTTGCACAAAACAATAATGGCAGGACACAGGTGGATGGCTAAGCAAAATGCAACACACAAGAATAATACTATTCAAGAAGCTTCAAATTTTCACTTGGTATAAAATCATATAGATAATTTTATCCAAATAAAATACCACTTCTCTACAAATCAACAATAGGAAACTAGTGGTGATTGGTGACAAGATTAAAAAAGACGTCCACATATCTTTAGATAGTCTCCCTGTTGCACAAATCCTCGTACTAGAATGATACAAATAAACTCGTAGCATTGCAAACCACTGACATCAACAAAGTTAAAATAAAATAAAATGCGTTGTCCAAGACGATGCAACACATAACATAAGTAGAATGCTACTCATAACTTCTAATAGCGCACCAATGCAAGTCTAAGAGTCGCTTGGAAAAGATAAAGATCACTTTCTAATCATTCTATAAGAAGAAAACAAAGAAACTATTCATATTATTAAAATAATCAACCACCAGTTTATTATTAAATTAAGCAAAACAAAATAATGTGCACTGTTCAAATACCATGCAACGAGAGATATGGCCACTTCATCCTAAAAATTACGCAGGATCACTTTCTCATCAATCCAGAATCTAGTCTAGAAAAGAAAAAAAAGTGCCCAAAATTACGCAAACAATCAACAATCAGTTTACTATTAAATTTCGCCCTGGTTCAACTGTTCAAGTATCGTATCCGTGAATCTACAATGCTTATATTGTGGTAAGTTCCATACATCACGCAAGGCAAACAGCGTGGCTGCGTGGGAAAGCAATAATGCCAAAGTACGTAGACTGAGCTGAAAGCTTGCATGGATGCATGCAGGAAGCATGAGGCCTTCCTACCCGCCTCCATGTTTTGCTAGATCTGATTTTACCCTATTCCTCACTAATCAAAATCCAACTCCCCAGCAAAAGCATTCGAAATCTCGCAATCAACCTGGTCTAATACCTGGACGGCACGAAAAAACGGGATTTGCTGCGCGCGCCCGGATCAAGCGCGATCGAGAGCACGTACCGTCGGCCTGAGAGAAGTAGTTCACGTATCCATAGCGGAGAGATCTGCTTGTGGCGTTGTCGCGGCAGACACGCACGGACGTGACAGTGCCGATCTTGCTGAAGGCGTCGAACAGGTGCTCCTCCGCCACGTCCTCGTGCAGATCGCCGACGTACAGCGCGGGCACCGCAGCTGCGGCCGGCTGCACCTCCTCGTTTGCCGCCGCCGCCGCGGGCGCGGACGCCGATTCCTCCTGGCTATCAGCGGCCGCCGCCGAGGCGTGCGCGGACGCAGGCGCTTCCATCTCCGACGCCGGCATAATCAGAGGTCCAAGCACAGACCTGGAGCCGGCCAGGGGCGCGCTACGGCAAGATGGGGAAGCGAAACCGGCGAGAGTCTGTCAGGGTTTCGGCGACGCGACGGTTTCTGCGAGGACGAGGGCCAAGAGACGCCACAGGTGGGCCGCCGCCTCCTTTTAATCTGCGGAGAGCGCGTCGGATACGGGAAACCGTCCGCGCCTGGCTGGCCGTCCGCTCATCTCGGTGTCCCGAACGCCTCACGGCTCACGCTCTTCTCCTTCCCTGCGCGCTGGGCCCATATTGTCGGTGTCAGGAGTGGGCCCCTGTTCGGTTCGGCCACGCCCCACCAGCCAGGGTCCCGGCGCTGCCCTCTAGCGATGAGGGATATTACCGCTCTGCCCTGAGCACCGCCCACGCGCAGCCAGGGGTAGAAGCGTCCGCGTCACCGTATTTGACCCCTCCTCCCCCGTCCCGTGTCGGCGACTCTCTTCTCTGCCCCCGTCCTCCCCCTTTCCCCTCCGCGTCCAGCCCGCGCGCCACCCACCCAGCCGCGGATCCGGAGGCGCAGATCCGATCCGGTGATGGCGTCCACGGCGGCGAGGCGGCTGCGGGGGCTGCAGGCGCAGACGGGGAACAAGACCTGCGTGGACTGCGCGCAGCGGAACCCGCAGTGGGCGAGCGTCTCCTACGGGGTGTTCATGTGCCTCGAGTGCTCGGGCAAGCACCGGGGCCTCGGCGTGCACATCAGCTTCGTGCGCTCGGTCACCATGGACTCCTGGACCGAGGCGCAGCTCCGCAAGATGGAGGCCGGCGGCAACGACCGCCTCAACGCCTTCCTCACAGCGCGTGGCGTCCCCAAGGAGACGCCCCACGTCGCCAAGTACAACTCCAACGCCGCGGCCGCCTACCGCGACCGCATCGCCGCGCTCGCTGAGGGCAAGCCGTGGACCGACCCGCCCGTAGTCAAGGAGACGCCCGGATCTGGAGCGCCCGCCCCTGCTAGAAAGCCGCCCGTGCACACCTCCGCCGCCTCCGGAGGCGGCGGCGGCGGCGGGTGGGACGACTGGGACGACGATTTTCGGCCGGACATGAGGCGGAATCAGTCTGTTGGATCATTCGCCGCCGCGGGGGCGCAGTCAGGGAGGCAGCCGCCGAGGTCCAAATCAACGCAGGACATGTACACTAGGCAGCAGCTGGAGGCGTCGGCGGCTAATAAGGAGGATTTCTTCGCCTGGAGGATGGCGGAGAACGAGTCCAAGCCTGAGGGGATCCCGCCATCCCAGGGCGGCAAGTACGTTGGGTTCGGATCCAGCCCAGCGCCGTCGGCTAATAGGAACGGCGGTGCTGCCCAGGGCGATGTCTTGCAGGTCGTCTCTCAGGTAAAAAGATCATCTTTGTGCTATCGCTACTTGTAATGAACAAATCCATTTCACATGCTATTGATCACAAAGATAAAGAGCATAGCATATTTCCCATTGATTGGATAACAATATTATCATCAATTTGTAGAATTTTTTTTTTACTATGGAGTGTATATGTTTGCCTACAAATAGTAGGGCTCTGAATTTTATTCTTTGCTACTATTTGGCAGTAAAATGGAAGATTTACAACTTGTAACTGTTGTTACATTACATACATAATAATAAATCAATTGCTCTATCTGGGGTTGCTGACCATAAGGAATCAGGAATGCTAAACACCACACGGGTGTTTTAGCACCTATAAACACACGATTTTTTCCGTGTCTGACATGAGGCTCCGACCGACTCCTCCCCTCCGCGCTCCCGTCCTCCCCTCCGCGTGCTCTCTCTCTCTCACCGGCGACGGGACCGGCGAGCTCCTCCCGGTGCCCGCGCCTCCTCACGCCCAGGCGACGGCGCCGCGCGCAGCCCCCGGCCGGACTGGACCTCCGCCGCCGCCCTCAGGCTGGACCTCCGCTGCCGCCTCCGCCGCCCCCGCAGCACGGCCGTGCCGTGCCCGCTTCGCCGCGATTTGTTGCTTGTGATCTGTGCCGACACAGCCGCGATTTGTCCTTGTCCTTTCATAGAAAAAAATTGTTTCCTGTTATATGTGCCAACGAAGAAGATAAACAGTGCCGCGGGCGGCTGAAGGTAGAATACGAACGGTGCGCAGTGGTCTGACTGAAGGTCGAAGATGAACAGTGCACGCGGGCTGCTGGAGGTAGAAGACGAATAGTGCCAGAAAATTTCAGGTGTGGAGTTGGGGTAAAACACCCAAGTGTCAAACAGACAGACTCTATAGAATTTGTTAGTATTGTGTGCTAATCAAGTTTTAGAAGCCTATTGAACACCTCAACATAGTGATGACTGATGATGCTTTGTTCATTCCATTTACTGGGTAGTACAGGAACATACTGAGCTCCCCTGCAACATATTTATAGAAGGCCAGCACCACTTGTTTGAATTGTTTAAGCAAAATAGGTTTCGATATGCATGTTGGCATGTGTTTGAGCTCAGTGTTCTAGTTGAATAGCAGTTGATGCATTATTGCCCTCAGGCCTCAGCTTACTTTGGTCATGTGAATATTGAGTTAGCTGTGGTGACTTCGGCATTATACCTTGTTTTGTAATTGTTTATTGGTCTGATATAGTTGCTTACCATAACACCTTTTTCAGGGATTTGGACGCCTTTCATTAGTTGCAGCATCTGCTGCCCAGTCTGCTGCCAGTGTTGTCCAAGTCGGCACAAAAGAAATCCAATCAAAGGTGACTAATATGTGCTTACCTATTCTGCTGTGCAACAATTGATTCCCGGGTCTAGTTATGCGTTGGCTGTGGAGTTTGAACCCCTCTTTGGGGTTCACCGAGCTCATATAGCTTCTTTTTTTCTAAACACTTCTTGCTTGAATCTTATTGCAACAACACTACACTTTGAGACGAAGTCATGCTTAGGATGTTTTTATGTTACATTTTAGGGATGCTGCATTTTATTTGTATGCAATATTCTGCTATCTATCAACACTAAATATCCATTCTTCGTTTTGTAGCATGAACTTCATTGAACAAACCTTATCACGCGTCATTGCTCCTTGACCAACAATCTTAGTTGGTGTTAGACTACATCAAAGCATATTTTTGTTGAACTTTTTTGTAATCCACCTGTTTTACATCACTGTTTTTTCTGTCTGATGATTGTGCTTGTCTGGGATGCAGATGAGGGATGGGGGCTATGACCAGAAGGTGAATGAAACTGTCAGTGTTGTTGCCAATAAAACCGCGGAGATTGGAAGCAGGACCTGGGGGGTCATGAGAGGAGTTATGGCGTTGGCCTCACAAAAGGTTGAGGAATATGCCAAGGAGGGAGGAATGAGCGGCTGGGGAGAGGATTGGCAACGCAGCGAGCAGAACAGTGAGCCTTACCAAAGGTTTGAGCATGAGACCAACGGCAACAGTTGGAATTCCTCTCAAAATTCTTCATCGAAGAACAACAATTCCAGTTCTTGGGACGATTGGGACGACCAAGGCAAGAAGGATGAGCCTGCGAAACCGCACCAGAGCAGCGACTCCTGGGCTGGCTGGGATGATGGGAAGGATGATGGTTTTGATAGTCCTAGTTACAACAATCACAGCACCTCCAACAAGGGGAGCAACCAGAACGGGACATCCGGTGGCACCTTTTGGACGGAAGGCGGCTTCCGCTGAAACCGGTCTCTTTTCCATAGAGCTATACTTTTCAGAGTTGTTACATGCCAGGAAACGTGAGGGTCCATTGGTTGGTATTATTCGGGATACTGAAACCCTCGGGTGAAAGGGTTTGTGTTTTTGTACCATGTCTACAACTGTTATTATATCTAGGGAGATATATTTCTGTGGTCAATGCCCATTCAAAACTTCCCAAATGACTAAGAAATGTCGATTTGAAACTGTAATCTACACAACTTTGTAGCATATTCCTTATTGGTTTTCGTTGGTTTTGTACCCGGCATGAGGCTTGCCGAAATTTGGAGTGATGGGTATTGTGGGGACTGGTGGCAAGCTTGTACCACAGTAGTAGTATATGCCCAGTGAACTGGATATACAATTCTCTGATCGTGTCTTTACTTGGAGGCAGTATGGTGTCCACTCACCAACCGATAAGGCACTGAATTAGGGTGCTTTCTCTCGTATTGGCTACTTTCCTAGCCTTTGACGAGACACGACGCTTGATTGTTGCTTTTTTGGTGGTTGATTCCAGGTAGGAGCTGACAGTGTGCCTCCACTTTTGGAATCCACTGGCCACTGGTGCTGTTGCGGAACTGAGGTCGTTGGGAGGAAGAAGCCTGGTTGATACCAACCTCAAGCTTGACGTTCCTAACAGAATCGTTGACAGCTGCATTAAAAAAAAGAATCGTTGACAGCTGTATCTTGCAGCAGATTGCTATTACATTAGGGAAATACTTCCTTTGAACTTGGTGGATCATGCACGGAAGTCACTATAATGCGCACAAATAACTCATAATGCTTGAAATTTCTGTATTTTTGTGGCATAAAATTAAACTAAACCTCTTTTTCTGTGAGGCATCAAGCTAAGCTATGCCTATACATAGTTATATTCGTTTATATATCGTCACATCACCTCTTAAGATGGAAATGCTTTGAGTCATGAATCTGGTTCGTGTACATCCTCATTCCTACCCTTCTAGTTCTATGGTAACCCTCTGTTCAGCGTAAAGCAACACTGAAGAGTAAAGCGACAAGAGAGGCCTCATCTGCACCTGAATGCGAAGGCATTGTTACAGGTATAACAATCATTCTGAGGCTTGCTTAGTTGTACAGTACCTCACGTCCACATGCATGCCAACTTGTATTCCAGACCTGTCCATGTGAAGCCGCACTAGCCTGGAATTCTTTTCCTCTCGTCAGATGCACAAGATGCTTGGTGGGTCAGTGCATGCTATGAGGAACACGGTTGGTTTTTTCCCACTCATTTCCCCACGATGAGAAGGCAGGGGATATTATGCAGTTAGATTCATGGATGAAACTATACGTGGTGATGCACGCATTTAT